CATTTCGTCAGGTTCACGACGATAGTGCAGAGGTGGGTCTGTGAGAGCCTGCTACGCTGACTCACGCTGCCATTGTTCACCAAAACTCCCACGCTCGCTGTCTACTTAAATGTGACAAACACCCCGCACCTTCTTTGTCAACCACTGCGAAAGGCCCGCGACGTCCTGTCTGTCCTATGTTCCCCGTCTGCTCGCTACTCAAGGTGCACGGTGGTTCCAGCCAATCGGTGCACGCCGTTCCACCTGGTTGGCTACACGACCCACTAAAGACATTTCGCAGTCAGGACTTCGCAGTAGCGAACACAACTTCGCCGACACATCTGGCGAGCACACGTAGTTGGCAGTTGGCGCACAACACAGCCTTTTTACCGTCTCTTTTCCGGCAGTAAATTTCTGTCCACCAACACTGTCTTGCTTGAATTGTGATCTGGAGGAACCTTCTACTTGTCGATACCGCTACCCACGACAGTGCCACATCTCCTGCTACTTCTCTTGCAGCGAGCGGGTGGAGAAAATCATGTTGATGGAGCTCCGGCAACAACAGCGGCTTTCCGGGAGATGTCATCAAGAAGATTAAAAAGGTGAGAGCGAAGACCATCCGAGGATGTTGCGCAGCAAAATTCCTCTGTGGTTGGCGGTTCCCTTTCCAGTTCCAAAGATAGAAAATGGTTGCGTTCTTCAAATCCTCAGGAACTTGCCATTAACGTCCCATCTTCCGGAATATCGCTGCAAGTTTGTTCAGCAGCCAGGATCACCGCAGTTGTAGACTTCAGTCGGGGTCGCATTGCATCCCAGTGCCTTTCTGCTATAGCTTTGTTGCATGGTTCGGATTGTTTCTAGCAGGGAAACAGGCGATATAAGTTGTTGTTTACGTCCACGTGAGGGAGCTGGTCGATAGCACAGACGGAGATCGAGCATGAGCGGTTGAGGACACTTATAAATTGCTTGATTCAGCGTTTCAGAATCTCTGATTTATCTGCCAGGAGTGTTGTTCCATTGGAGCTGAGCAGCGGCGTGGTTCCCTTGATACTGGCGTCGTGGATGACCTTGGCGGATTCGAAGAAATTCGTCGTTTATTTGTCGCCCACCTACGCATTGATTTTCTTCGTCTTGCGGACCATCCAGATGTCCTGCATCTCCCGCAGCCGTTGCTGTACAAGGTGGTGGCATCTGGACAAATCCATTTTGTCGGTATCGGTTTGATGATCGATGCAGGATTTGTGGATTCTGCCCTTCTCAACGAATATGTTGCTGCCCTAGTCTTGTTGTCATAAAAAACATCCTGGTGTTGATGATATGCGCGTTCGAGGATGTAAACGGTGATGGAATGGATGACGCTCCGCAGTTGACCTCACTCTGTCGCCATGGTGACGTTATCGTCTGGGTCTCGCAAGTCTTCCAGCTGTTGTGCCAGTCATTTTCTGAAAAACAGCTGTGATCAGGCGAATCCAACATATCAGTATATAGCTTACCTGGTAATGCCTTGTCCCTTGGTATTCTTTTTGAGTGGGCGTCAGAACCTCGTCTTGGAGAGGATGAAGGGTTGATCTGTTCTGCTATTGGCGTTGCTGATCGCCTTGGTCACCATTACGTCCGTCCGGCCAAAAACGACCAGCGCCGCGGTCGGAGTGCACCAACGCTGCCCTCATTGTTGGCCAGGAGGATACAGCTTTCCGTGCAGGTTTGCAGAAGAATGAGGCCATTGTCTTTTAAGCCGCTGAGACCGCCGGGAATCCAACACTCCCCATAGGCAGCGTGATCTGTTCCGACGCAAGCGTCCAATCCATCGAAGATAACCCGTATGTCCGCTTTCGGTACAGCCGTTAAGTTAATATGTAAGTCCCCGTAGAATTTGTCGTTTGTCTCCTCTGAGCTCGTCATTGGGGGCGTAGGCGCTGATAATGGTGGCGAATCTGAGTCCTCGATCGGGCAGTTGAAAGATCATCAGTTCATCTGTTGCACGTTGTCATAGACCATAGACAGCTTATCCTTGCGGCTGATTGCGAGCTGATGTTCATGCAATCTTCTTCCCATTTTACTAACATACCTTACATCGCAGTTTTGGCATGGTATGGTGTAGACCAGGGCTGATTGTTCTGTTAACGGTAGCAGGTATTTGGACCTCATGATCTGCTGTCTGATGGTTGACTCTGGCCTATGAGGCAAATCGATCCCGAATGGTTTCAGAAATCATGCAGTCATCTCTGATACATTCTTCACATAAGGGATTGCGAGCCAGAACTTAGGGTCTCCTCTTTTCGAGTGGTCAAGGTGGGGCTTCTTAAAACACTTGCGTACGAAGGACTTCGGATAACCGTTTGTTTGAAATAGGGCATGCAAGTACCTAGTGTGGGTAGAGAAGGCTTTTCGATCACCGTAATCATAATTTTACTTGTGTGCTCTTTCGGGCTGGAAAGCCCGAGCTCGAGCCCGAAGGCTCACATAAGTAAAACTATGATTCCGGTGATCGAAGCGCCCTATCTTTTCTATCTACACATATACCTGCGATGCGAACATTTGCCTCAATTCGTGAGTACTTAATCTCCAGCTTCTTCCCACTGTCGTTGCTGCAGTGTGTCTGAACGCGTTGGGACAAACAAGGTGGTTGCTTCTGAAGTGGAGGATGCACATGGTGTTGATTGCCTCACTTAATTGTTGTCCTTATCTTTCTGGCCTTATTTTCGTCACTTGTACATCGAATAAGGGTAACTATTTGTTGACCTCTTCTTGCATAGTAAACAGGATGTCAGGAAAGATAAAATTCAAGGGTGCCTTTGAAGTCTGCATTTTGCTCCTTTTGACGACGATGAAAGTTTCGTTGACCTAGCTTGCCCAGAATTTTGGGGCAGACGAACTGAAGGCCAGCCGCTCGAGCCTCTGCAAAACAGCCTCAGGAATAAGGCCAAACAGTTGCGAGCCCCACGGTGTTCCCATCTTCTGTTCGTAAATTTGACCGTTGAACGTGAAGGAAGTTTCAGGCACAGTTCTAGGAGAGGGATGATGTGCAGTGACTTGAATTTTTGGTCACTTCCATCGAAATTTTCTTGGAGAAGACTGCAAATAGTGTCGATAGCCAGACTGGGTGGAATAGAAGTAAACAACGGGATCACATCAAACGACAAAATCATCTCGTCTACCTCCAATTCCAGGTTTTGGATGTGGGTCAAAAACGCTTTAGCAGATTTCATTTTCTGCCCTGAATCCTTGGTAAGGAAGCGCACTCGCTGGTACAGTCACTTTGACAATCCAAATTTGGGGTGCAACGCAAGGATACGGTGGGTCGTTAGGGCACTCCTGACTTGTACACGTTTGGTGCGCAGTATAAACGTGCCATTGCAACATCAGTGGCTTTTGCAGTCAGCGCTTCCCTTCCCGTCAGGGCTCCTGTCTCCTTCAACTTGTCCATCGTCTCATAAATGACGTTTTTCAGTTTCTTGAACTCGCCTACAGTCGATGGCACATACGAATCCTTGTCGATCAGAAAATCTTCTACATTCACATAGCAGTCGAACTTATCAACGACGACCGTTGAACGCCCCTTGTTGGCGGGCAGGATGACGATATCTTTCATATTCCGTATCCTCATAAGTTCACGGGCTTCTGACTCGGAAATCGTCATGTGGATTTTGTGCTTGAGGAGCCGTCACAAAGGTTACAAAGGTCAGGGGAAAATAGGAGAGGAGCCGGCCAGGAACCACTTGACCAGCGTGGAACACTAGCTCACCACTAAGCCCAAGATATTGAACTCAACTCACCTGGGCAGCAACAGCTGCTTAATCCATCGGCTGTGCACGTTTAAATTTGGCCTTGAAAATTTTGTATGTGGTATCTAAATCCATATGCTGGATGATGCATGGTTCATCTTAGTGCCTTGCTTCCAGAAATTCACGGCCCTTTCTGATTGGGCGGGTGCAAACAATCCGTGTGTTCCCTTATGCGAAGTTATGATGGATTTTCAGTGCGTTCATGGCCACCTGGGATAAATAGCCTCGTCTTCTAACAACTAACTGATTATCGTGTGTGCAGGTTTGGGCAGATTTGTGGTAGTTGATGGGCAGTGACAGTACCGTCGCTGGTAGTGTTGTTGACATGCAGATGGATTCCCCAGGTCACTAGTCAAGCAGGTCTGTGTTGGTGGACAGAAATTTACTGCC